CGGGCCTCTGGGCTCACTGGGAGCCGCAGGGCTGCGCAGGATCAGTGGAAAAGTACCACTCTTCCCTGGGAGGCTGGACGGGAGGCGCCAGGCAGGCGGCAGGAAGGAGGAGGGTCTGGTGTGTGGGGGCCTGGAATGCACAGGCTGCCTGTTCCGGGGACAGGGATGGGCACACAGCCTGCCAGACGGAAGAGGAAGGAAGGAAGGGGGCAGAGAGAAAATGTTCCCGAGGCTCCGGGAGGCGGGGCTGGCTGGGGTGCTGGAGGCCTCCTGTTGTCCCCGCACCTGGAAGGCCCCGCCTCAGCCGCTTGCCAGTTCCGCTGGGGCAGGTCCCCCACCTCTCAGGACCTCTGTGAAAACAGTCAAGGCAGTCTTCATGAGGAATTAGTGAGAACAGCCACTTTTCTGGATCTTTCTCTGCCTCCCCTTTCCCCCACCTCCACCTTTCTTCCTTCCTTGGTCTCTTCTCCCAGTCTCAGCCCAGGCCCTTGGTGGGGTCTGGACCCTCACCTCTCGGTCCCTAGGCCTGGCCTCCCCCACCCCCACTCCTGCAGCCCAGGCTGGCTACAGAGATGGCAGGGGGCTTCTGTGCGGGGCTGTGGGAGGTCTTCTGCAGTGACCCCCCGCCCCCGGGTCAGTACCAACTCGGGGGGGGGGCAGAGGCAGTAGGCAGGATGTACCCAGGGCCCTCCCCTGAGGGGCCAGGTGAGCCACCTCCCGCCTCTGTTCCAGGGGTGACATTCTGAAGGGGGCTCCTGGCAGGAGGCAGGGGATCCCTGGCTTTCCGGGCAGCTCCCTGTGTCCTGCAGCCTTACTGGACACCTAGCCCTGGCACTCTGACCCCTTCTACAGAGGGAAAGGCTGGGCTCAGGTGAGCACCTGCCAAGTCCTCTGACGAGAAAGGGAGGGAGGAGGTGCCTTTCTCGGTTCCTCAGACTCTGGCCAGGTGCCTGGTCCGGGTCAGGCCCACTCCCCGCTCCAAGATGTACTCCTGACCCCAGACACAGCACCTTGGGGAGCCCTGCCCTGTGCTGAGAAGGAAGGGCGGGGGCTGGGGGCAGGTTGAGGGCCAAGGCCAGCAGGCCTTGCAGTTGGGACCCCTGGGCAGGACAGTAGGGAACACCTGGCTTGAAGCAGTGGCCTGGAGACCATCTCCAGATCTGGGCCAGGACCCTGGGCTTGGAAGGGTTCTCGGGGGGCACAGGGTCAGCCTGTCCTTTTCTCCCATCCCCACTGGGCAGTGGTCGGCAGTAGAATGAGCCCATCTCACCTGACCCTGCAGGGCAGTAGGACTAGGGAGCCTGGACATGGGGCCTGGACAAGAAGTTCAGCCAGACCAAGGGCAGGAAGCCTGCATGCCCCACCCTGTGCACCCCTCACACCAAGTGTCAGACCACTGCCATCATCTGGCATAGACAGATCACCCCACTTCCCTGGCCTCCTGCTTGATGAGGACTGGGTTGGGGGGCTACAACCCAGGCCAAAGTGGGCAACAGGGGCCCTGGAGCACAAGGCAGTTGATACAAGTATGAGCGTATACATGGGCCTGCACACATGGTCAGTCTGCCTGCGCACAGGCTGAGCGTACACACCTGTGAACACGGGCACGAGATGTACACATGTGCGGGTGCCCTCATGGAGTGTCTTCACACCCTCGGCTGCTCCACAGCAGGGTCAACGGGAGGAGCAGGCTGGACTTGGAATGGCCCCCTGGGGCTGGCCAAGTTGTGTCCAGGCCACAGCCTGGCAGGGAAACACCTTCCTTGGAGTCAGGGAGGAATAGCTGGGCAGCCCTACAGGGGCCAGGAGCAGCCTGAGGAGCGTGTGCCCTGGGGAGTGGGGGAGATGCAGGGGATAGGCAGTCCCTCTGGAGGCCCAGGCTGTGGGGACCCTGGGGGCAGGTGTGAGTCCTATCAGAAAGCATGTCACCCAGCAGACTCAGGAAGGGAGGGGGCTCTGGAGGGGGGTTAGAGAGGCCAGACACTGGGGGGTGAGCTCTGCAGAGAGGGGGAGTCCATCTTAAAGAGGCACGTCAGCGTCACAGGGTTAGAGCTTGGTGCTAGGCTCCTGGAGCCCGGGGGCAGGAGGGGAGAGTAGCTTGAGCCAGGGGCACCTAGATCCTAGTGCTGCGCAGTCCCTCTGTGGCCACTCCCTCGACCTCTCCCCTCCCCTGGGGCACCTCCTTCTTCAGACTAGACCTGAAGAAACAGCCCACTTTAGCTCTGGAAGTGAAGGTCCCCCAGTCCCCTCCCAGGCCTGCTGGGGCTGGGGGTCAGCATTTGGTGCCCTGCCTCTTGGGGGTGGACAGCTGTGGGAGTGCAGGCCCTGTGACAGAAGGCCCATGCCCAGAGGCAGAAGAATAGAGCCCCAGGATCCAGCCGGAGTTTGCTGAAGGCTTCTGGGGCGATAATTGGGCAGCGATTAAGTGTTCCCAGAGCAGCTGCTATTGCCTGTCACCTGTCACCTGTCACTGCAGGACCTGCAGTTCAGAGCTTCTGCAGACGGTGGTGAGGGGGGCGGGAACTCCTTTGCCACCAGCTTTTGTCCTTGTGCTGTACTGACCAGAGTATGCACTCCACCCACAAGGTCTGCCTGGGGCCACCTGTCCAGCTCTTCAGTGGTCAGGGAGGGGTGTGAGTGCCATGCATCTGAACACGCAGCATCCTCCCTGGGCCACCTGGGGCACTGCCTGCCCTGTCCAGGCCTGGCCCCCAGGGGGACTGGCCTTCCAGACCAGCACCGCAGGGCTCCATGCCTATGGCCATCCCAATCTTTGCTCCCTCACCCCAACCTCCACTCTGGGAAGCCTGTCTTTGGCTTTGACCTAGGGTCAGAGTAGAGAGGGAGCTGGAGGCCTCTGGGGGCTAGAGGCCTGAGAGCCATCCACCCAGGGCCACATGGTCAGGCTTTTAAACATGGAGGGCTAGCCCTGGTCACTGAAGCACTGGCTCCCACGCTCAGAAACACAGGACCCGTCTGTGTCCAGCTGATTCATCAGCCCAACCCATCGACACAGTCCTTTGGTCCCCTTGGGGTCCCCTGCCCAGACCAGACATCTCAGGGTCAGGCACAGGACCTGTGGCCTCCTACTCTGGGAATCCTCGGTGTGAAGACTCAGGGTCCCTGTTCTCGCAGCTTCTCTGCCTGCTCTCCCTCCCAGCTCGGAGGTGCCCCTCCGCCCTCCCTTCTCTGCCCGCCCACTTGCCTTTAATTAGAAATGCCAGGAGAGCCATTTTTGGGGAATTTTTTTTTTGCCAGAAAGACATTCCCCTCAGGGGCGGAAGCCCARGGGGGAAAGGAGGAGAAGGCTGGCTGTGAGGGGGGCTGAGGCTCCAGAGACAGGGGTGGGGGCAGTGGGTTCAGGCAAGGCATGGAGATGGCAGCCAGTGTGTGAGCAAGACAGCGTGGGGCATGAGCGTGTACGGGGCTCTGAGTGGGGGGCATGAGCGTGTACGGGGCTCTGAGTGGGGGGCATGAGTGTGTACGTGGGTGCTGAGTGGGGGCAAATGCTGGGGGTTTCTGAGTGGGGGGCATGAGTGTGTAGTGCATGAGTCTGAGAGAGGGAAGGGACTAGCAGGGGGATAAGGTATCCTGGTTGTCACTAAGCATCTGTGGCTCTCTGAGGGGGTATTAGTGTGTCACCTGCTTCTAGGTAACATCAGAGGCTGTGAGAACCACACTAACCCATCCTGCATTGGAGTAACCCAGAAAGGACGTCCCTCCCCCACGGCACTGCGGTTGCCAGGGAAGCGGAAGGGGCCTCCCTCCCGAGGGAATCGCAGCTTCCGGAGCCCCGTTCCTTATATGGTTCTTGCTTTCCTCTGCATCTCTGTGCTGCCAGCATCCCTGCCCCTCCTCCCTGCCCCTCCTCCTGTTCCATCCTCAGTCTTGCAGCTTCTGGACAGGTTATGGCTGTGACCTGGGGCTTTGGGGTCAGCACTTTGGGAGGCTGAATGACCCCGCATCTCTTCCAACCCTCATCCCTTATCCCCAGGTAGCAACTTCCAGATCACCTGGAGGCCCAAGTAAAATCGGCGGCTGCACCAAAGACCTGGCTGCGGGCACTGTGCAGTCCTGCTCAACCATGGCCACACTGCTGGGGTCACACAACTGGTGCCCAAGCAGACTGCCTGGGTGCATGTCTCACACAGAGCTGGGAGGACCAGGCCAGTACCTGGACTCAAGGAAGTGGGGGCAGGGACGGACAGGAGTGTGTGTGTGTGTGTGTGTGTGTGTGTGTGTGTGTGTGTACCACTGAACCAGCAGGTGAGGACGGGGGGGGGGGGCTCCCAGGGAAAGGGTCCTGCAGGGCTCTTCCGCTGTTGCTCACTGCAAAGCCGCGATGAGCAGGGGCAGGGGCAGCGAGGATCTAGAAGGGCAGCGTCCAGCGGGCCCTGCTGCTTTTAGGTAAGATATTCTGAGACCTTGGGCGGTCGTAGCGGGTAAACAACCTGGTCCTGCCCACCCTCATGGCCCAGCGCTGGCTAGGGCGCGGGGACTCGCTGGTCCCCAGCGCATCCCCCGAGTGCCCGCAGGGTGAAGGAGCCTGCGTCTCGGGTGGGAGGTGCGCAGGGGAGCGGATTAGTCACCCGGAGCGTGCAGAGGGCGGGTCCTCGCTCGGCGCCCGCCCGGGAGGTGCGAGTGGGCGCGGGAGAGGCGGGGCCTGCGGCGGCGGGCGCGGGCGGGACGCTGGCGGGAGCCTGCGGCTGAGCCAATGGGAGCGGGGCTCGGCAGGGGCCGCCCACGGGCCGCGGGCAGCATAAAGAGCCCGCGGCAGCCGCTCGGCGCAGAGCACGGGCGCCGCGTCCTCTCTCAGCTTCTGCCGCAAGGTACCTGCCGTACCTGCCGCACCTGCCGCAGCACCGCGGCTCCCACACCCGGGCTCCCGCCGCTCCGCCAGCCGCCCCGCGCCCCGCCGCCGCCCCCGGCTCCCTGCGCTCTCACCGCGCCTGTCCCAGAGTAGTTCGTAACCGGTCCGGAGCGCGGCCACCTGCGAGCAGATGGAGCTGGACCACATGACGAGCGGCGGCCTCCACGCCTACCCTGGGCCGCGGGGCGGGCCGGCGGCCAAGCCCAACGTGATCCTGCAGATCGGTAAGTGCCGCGCCGAGATGCTGGAGCACGTGCGGAGGACCCATCGGCACCTGCTGACCGAGGTGTCCAAGCAGGTAGAGCGCGAGCTGAAGGGGCTGCACAGGTCGGTGGGCAAGCTGGAGAACAACCTGGACGGCTACGTGCCCACGAGCGACTCGCAGCGCTGGAAGAAGTCCATCAAGGCCTGCCTGTACCGCTGCCAGGAGACCATCGCCCACCTGGAACGCTGGGTCAAGCGCGAGATGCATGTGTGGCGGGAGGTCTTCTACAGACTGGAGAAGTGGGCCGACCGCCTGGAGTCCATGGGCGGCAAGTACCCGGTGGGCGACGGTCCAGGCCGCCACACGGTCAGCGTGGGCGTGGGGGGTCCTGAGAGCTACTGCCACGAGACTGATGGCTACGACTACACGGTCAGCCCCTATGCCATCACTCCGCCCCCCGCTGCTGGTGAGCTGCCGGGTCAAGAACCAGCTGAAGCCCAGCAGTACCAGCCCTGGGGGCCTGGAGAGGACGGGCAGCCAAGCCCCGGTGTGGACACTCAGATCTTCGAGGACCCACGGGAGTTCCTGAGCCACCTGGAAGAATACCTGCGGCAGGTGGGTGGCTCTGAGGAGTACTGGCTGTCCCAGATTCAGAACCACATGAATGGTCCAGCCAAGAAGTGGTGGGAGTTCAAGCAGGGCTCTGTGAAGAACTGGGTGGAATTCAAGAAGGAGTTCCTGCAGTACAGCGAGGGCACCCTGTCCCGAGAGGCCATCCAGCGGGAGCTGGACCTGCCACAGAAGCAGGGTGAGCCACTGGATCAGTTCCTGTGGCGCAAGCGGGATCTGTACCAGACCCTGTACGTGGACGCTGAGGAGGAGGAGATCATCCAGTATGTGGTGGGCACCCTGCAGCCCAAGCTTAAGCGCTTTCTGCGCCACCCACTGCCCAAGACCCTGGAGCAGCTCATCCAGAGGGGCATGGAGGTGCAGGACGGCCTGGAGCAGGAGGTTGAGCCAGCCGGCCCCCAGGTGCCCACTGAGGACGAAGCAGAGGCCCTCACTCCCGCCCTCACCAGCGAGTCTGTGGCCAGCGACCGGACCCAGCCTGAATAGAGGGCAGCCCAGGGCCCCCAGCCTGCCCACCACAGCCATGCTGTGGCTTTTGCTAACCAGGACTTGATCTGGCACTGATACCCACTGGGGCATTCCTCATCCAACAGGCACCCTCAGCCTCCAGGCCCTAATCACAGACATGCCACCCAGATGTGTGCAAAGCCCTGAGCAGCAAGGAGCTCCTCCCCTGCAGGGCTCCTGCGTCACCCCACCTCTGTCTTCCTGACCTGCCTGCCTGGGCCTGGGGGCAGCCCTACCCTCTGCACTCAGGCCACTGTAGAACATCTCCAGCTTCCTCATTCTGCTCCAGTGCTTCTGGGCACACAGGAAACCAAGTGTCCAGAAGGCAGAGACCGCTCAACAGGGCACCCGGGCAGAAGGCAAGGCAGAACCAGTGCTGAACCTCAACTTCTGGCACACCACCCACTCCTGGCAGACACTGCAGAGCCAGCTGGCACTCCCGTCGCCCTCCAGGGCAGACGGCCAGCCTTGGGCAGCACAACTCCCTTCTCAGGGAGCACCTAAGTTGCACATGCAGCAGCAGCAACAGCAGACCTGACATCCTGGTGCCTCCTGGCCCCTAGGTGAGTCCCCACCTCTGTGGCATCTTAGAGCCGGGAGGGTCCAGGGCCCAGTTCATTCTCCAAGTGAGCCCATTGAGGCTCCGAGGCTGCAAAGATGGGGTCGGGATGGCATCGTGGGGGTGCAGAGAGACCCCCAGGATCAGGAGTGGGCTGGGGTGGGAGGCAGTGCTGAGAAGCTGGCTCAGCCCGCTCACCGGGACCCTGTGCTTCTCATCTCAGATAGTGATTCATGCCAGACGCGCAGGGTCTGAGCTCTGCTCAGTGACTCAGCTGTGGCGGCACACAGTCCCAGAGGGGCCAAGTCCTCAAATCCGGCTGAGGCAGCAGCCAGCACTCGGAGCCAGGAGAATCACAACAGGTAACAGCCCCATTCTTCCTGCCTCAGACTGCCCCTCTGCTATCCTGCCCAGGCATGCGCTCACCCATCCCCTGTGAAAGCTGAGAGTCTGTGCCTGAACCCTGGGGACTCCAGCCCAAGAACCTGCCCCCAGTCCTGCCTGTGAGCCCACTGCTCTGTTGCTGATGGCTGTGCTTTCTCTCCTTCAGGTCTCTGACTGCCTGGGAGTCTTTGCTGCTGAGCCTGGCACTGTCTTCCCCTCTCTCGAGGCGGCCAGCCCCAGGGCAGCTGAGAGAGGGCAGCTGCAGAGAGGAGGCGTTCTGGCACTGGGCAGCACCCCAGCTCGGCCTGAGAGCTGGTGGTGAGGATGGACCGGCGTGAGGGCCAGGGCCTGCCGCTATGCCCGCCCCGCTGGCTGCCAGCTCCCTGCCCCTAGAGCCACTGCAGCCAAAGCCAGGGTCCACTACCCTGGCCCTTCCAGCAGGGAGTCCCTGCGTGCTGTGTGGCCATGGCCTCCTGCCAGATCCTTTTAGGAGCCCCGAGGCCAGGGCCCCAGCCCCTCCAGCAGCCCCCAGGCCAGCCCCAGGAGATCCTGAGGCCTTTGCTCCTGGGCTGTCCCAGGCTCTCTGTTCTGCCCTGGCCCTGCTTTTGCTCAGGCTAGACCCTGGGCCACTCATGTCTGCAGCTGGAGCAGCCCGGACTGAAGTTTTAGAGGTTCCTCTTTCTGCCTTGCCCATTGGGGTTCCGGATTCTGGGGACCAACTCTGCAGATGACCTGATGAATCCTCCACCCTGTGCCCCTGCCTGCCCCCACAGATTTTATTTTTGCACATAAGCCATAACTCATACTCATTGGCCAGCACAGGCTGCAGGGAGGTCCTGGGGCCTGGGGAGACCTCAGAGGGTGTGCCTCCCCCCTACACAAACTACGCCTTGAAAGTCCTGCCAGGCCAGAATCCCTGCCACCTTACCTCGAAGACAGACTGTTTTTATAAGATTTTGTTAATAAAACACTGAAACTTGTGGAGTGTTCCTGATGCCTCTTTGGGGGTGTGGGTTGGCTAGAGGGGAGCTTCGAGGGAGGCCCTGTGGCCTGAGGGGTAACTGTGCAGTCTGCATGGTGCAGGGAGGGTCTGGGGGCAGGGGAACACTGCTACATTTCCCCCCTGCAAGAGGAACCCAGGGTTCTGTCCTCAGCCTATGGAAACCTGAGGGCTGCACCCCAGAGACCATCCCCTGCAGCCCAGGCCCAAGGCAGTGGGGCAGGAGCCCTGTTCACGCTGAGCAGAGGATAGTCCCCAAGTCCTGCAAGAGTACAGGGTGTGCCAAGGCTGGATCCACAGCCTGCTCAGGCCCTGGAGCCAGAGGGGTGTGGCCAAAGCAGGGTCCAGCCAGGAGGGACACTCGGTCCTGGCTGTGGGATCATGACTTGCTGTCTCTGGGCTTCGTTTTCTTCCCCTGCCAGGTGAGCTCTCCCTGCGAGGGGGAAGCCAGCCTCCCCGCCTCTGTGAGGAGGGAGGGGTGGCCTGTGGGGGCTGTGTTGCTCACCCCTACTGAACGCTTTCAGGGCCCTGCTGGATGAGGGCTAGACTGACTGACCACCAGGTCATCTGTAGGTACTGCTCTGTGTAGGTGCTGGCCCATCTGATGGTGTTTCTCTGCTCACAGGGGTGCTGAGGCGGGCAGCCAGGGCAGGGCAGCAGCCTGCCCTGTCCAGCCTGGGTCGAGCTGGCCCTGCTGGGTGCCTGGCCATAGCACAGCCCTCGCTGCACCTGCTGAGGGCAGGATGAAGCCTGCGGGGACACAGAGGAGGCCTGGGGGCCAGGGCACAGATGGAGTGTGTGTCCTGGCCACCTGCCACCAGGAAATGTCACCCTCCAGGCAGGGCTAGCAGGCAGCCCTGAGTGCAGCTCTCCATGGTAAAAGGGCTGCCTCTGTCCTGTTCGCCTTCGCTTCTTTTAAACAATGAAACTGCTGACAAGAATGGGGAGAGAGTGACAGGGACAGCAGGAGGGCCCCACGGTGGGACCACACTTTGTCCCCACAGGTGCTGCTCACATGAAAGGTGGCAGCCCAGGACGCGGCGTTCCCTGTCGTCAGTCACCCGTCGCTGACCCAGAGCAGGCAGAGGGCCTGGCCGCAGGGCGGGGGGCGGGGTGGCCCAACTGCCCACGGACCTCCCAAGTCCTGTGGCTCAAGTCCCCAGGCTGGAAGTCTCCCCAAGTGGCCTCCACCCTGGTCACCCTGCTCATGAGCACCACTGGCCACTCAGCYTCATCTCACTGGGGCAGGGAGACTGGGACACAGAGAGGGCCACCCTCAGGTTCTGGAACAGGGGCGGGACTGGGGGCCGCATCTGGGGGCTCGAGGGCCCGCCTGCAGACCTAGTTTGGTGGGAGGCCTCTGGCCAGGTGGGCACAGGCATAAAACCCTAGGGCTGCCCCATGCTGTCCAGTGCTTTTCTCTAAAATCACGTCTGCCTCGGTGAGCGGGCAGCAGGATGAAAGGGTGGGCGTCAGGCCGCACGGGGCCAAGGGTCTCACCAGCTGTGCCCCAGGGTCCAACCCAGGAGCCTCCTTGCTTGCTGGAGTGGGGCTGCGCACTGGCCCTACCTCCGGGGTCTGGGAGAGCTGCAGAGGCGCGAGGCCCCGTGGACCCACAGGCAGCTCCTGAAGCAGGCCGCGTGGTGGGGCGGGGCGGGGGTGACGGGCACTGTTCAGAATGGGAAAGGAGGTGCAAGAGAATGCTGTGGGGATCCCAGGTGGGGAGCCCAGGCCAGGGGGGCAGGAGGCCATGGCCCAGTGGGCCCAGTCCTGGCTCCTCACCTCCACCTACTGCAGATATGCCCTGTCCATGGAGCAAGGGCCCGTGGGCACAGAGACCACCACCCAGGATCTGGCCCTTCAGAGTGTGGGGCCCAGTGTTGGGCTGCCCCCTCAGTGAGGGTGATTCTTTGAGGGGTACAGACTGGGTCTGCAGGTGGGGAACCTGGAGGTGAGCTGGGGGAGGAGGAGAGAAAGAGGAAGGCGGACGAGGGAGGGGGCACAGAGGGCAGCATGGGAGGCCATTTGGAAACTGCATGCTAAACCCTCCCTGGGTTTGGCAAGACCAGTGCACCCCAGGGCAGTGAGGGTGCCAAGGGAGAGGAGGGCTGCAGAGGCACTGATGTCCTGTCTGAGTGACAGGTGACGAGCGCCTGCCATCAGTAGGCCCTTCCAAGCAGAGCCCCTTCCCAAAGATCAGAGAGGGCTGGGCAGGCCCTGCCCCTCCACCAGGGTCCAGTGACGCTCGGAAGCCATGCCTGGCCCTGAAGGTGCACAGCTCCCCTCTGCTCCTCCTCCCCAGATCACACCAGCGCTTGGCTGGGTCCCACAGGCTGGCAGAGCCACGTCCAGTCAGGATGCGAGGCTGTTATGGTCAGCCACTGCCCAACTCGGAGGGAGGGGCTTCATCACCAGACTCCTGGGCCGGCCCCGCACTTGCTTCCTTGGTGCATGATGGGCCCTGACAGCGCCCTTTGGAGGTGACACCTGGGGCTCTGTTTGGGGGATAGAGGAGGTCAGTCCTTCTCTGCAAGGACAGATACCTGATGAACAAATCACCAGGTCTGTGACTCTCCTCACTGGGGCCCAAGGCCCAGCACTGCCCAGACAGACACAAGCCCAGCCTCCCCCGACCCAGGATGGGGCAGCAAGGCCACAGAAGCAGGTGGAGGTGCCCAAAGAGGCCACCGTTCCCTGGCTGGCCTGTGAGAGCAGCCCGAGCAGCTGCTGGCCCCTAGGTGTTCCTGGCCTGTCAGTGACCCGCTCCGCTGCCATGGCTGCGGGTTTGGGGACTCGGTGCCTTGGGAGGTGGTGTAGCCCATGGCTCACCAACGTGGGCTCAAAGGGCCCACCTGGCCCAAGGGGAGCACCTCCAGGGCGCCCTGACACCAGAGCCGCCCAGGATGGCTGAGGAGCCGGGCACCCGCCTGCCCCCCCCAGCCCATGCTGGAGACCTGTGCTATGCTTCAGTGAGCCACCGCCTGTGCCCCTGTCCCGGGCTCTGCTTCCCGGGAAGACGGCCCAGGACCAGCAGGA